CCCTTAGAGAAGGAAAGGAAAGAGGATGCAGGAGGGCATCCAGGAGTCCAGCCAATAACCTCCTGAGGCCCAGGGGTAACTCGAGTGCTTGGAGAGCCCAAGTGCACGGGGCGGGGTGAACACAGACCGCGCAGGTACACCACAGGGGTGAGAACTGAGGCCGCCTGAGCCGAGACTGGAAGAATGAGTAATGGCAAGAACTACAAGCCCTGTGTGTCAAGCATTGTTCTAAGCGATTCCTTATTTCATTTGATTATTTTACTTATTCCATGAGACACAGAGAGAGAGGTACAAACCTTCCCAACAGGGCCTCCTGCCACTACCCGCCCCTGGCCTCAGCCAGCCCAGATTATGGGCATGTGGGCATGCTCAGCATTCACAGGACGACCTCAGGAGTGAACCTGGGACCTTCCCGTTTTATAATTAAGTAGAAAGCTGTGTTACTGCTACCCCGCCTGCCAGCCTCAGTGCCGTATATTAAATCATGTAATCTCCCTTGTGATTAAGTGATATGTTGATCCCTGTTTTACAGGTGAAAAGTAAAGATAATGATTTGATCAAAGTCATATAGCAGAGAAAGGGCAGGTAGGATTTGAATGCAAGCAGACAGACTGCTGGGCCCATGCTCCTCGTCCTAGGAGTGGGAGCTGAGGGCCAAGGAGAGCAGGGGAGAGGGTCCCGCTTCTCATACTGAATGCAGTTCTCAGGTGTCCATCACACCACAGCCTTGTGGATGGTACGGTTAGAGGTGTGCCGTACACTGCTGTGTGGCCCCATAGGCAGCCATGAAAATCACATGCAAACAGACTGATTAAGACACAGAAAATCAGGAACCAGCTGTTAGCGTAATGGCTATGTCGCTGGACTCCCACATAGTCGACCGTGGTTCGCGTCCCAGACCCAGTGGCTTAAAACTCACGCTGGGCGCGTGTGCGTGCGTGCCCAAGATCCCGAGAGGAGAATGGAGGAGAAGGGATTGCGGCGTGACCATCTCCCCTGGGGGGGTGATTTCTCGCTTTCTGTCTCTATGTCTCTCTCTGTCTGTCTGGCGAGCACACGCGCCCTATAGCGAAAATCTCTTAAAAAAAAAAAAAAGACACAGAAAATCATGTGGTGAGGTGAGAAAAGGAAGCCTTCCATCAAATGATGGGTCCAGCAATGCTGGTGCATAAATAATGCTACCTCTTGAGGAACTGGAAGCCACGTGGGATGCCTGGGTTCGGTTCCCAGGTCAACCTGAACATGCCAAACCATGCACAACTGCAGTCCTAGCTCACTGGGAGGTAGGGGCAGGAAGGACATGACACAGCGAGACCCTGTCAAGAAACTCCAGCCCCACTCTCTCTCATAAACAAGACAGAGACAGATGAGGTCGGTTTCCAATTTCCACAGACACATACTCACTGGAAAATAATCCAAATGATATACACTAAAATTGAGAGGAAATGTTAAAGAAGAGGAAATGTTAAGATTGATTTTCGTTATTTTTTTCTACTTCTTTTTGCATCCCTTCCTAAGGGATACAGTGATCTCATTTCTTTTATAATCAAACACGCTCTATTGATGAATCTACCAGATTAAGCACAAATATTGAAACTCAGTGCTGAGTTTGGTCACCCGTAGCAGGTGGATGCCCTGGTGAGATAATGCTTGAATATGGGGCCCTTCTATTCTGGCTGAAGCCTGACTCCTGGTGGACAGAAACATCAAGGACGCACTTCTGTTGGAAGACCTCTTCATAAACACCTCAGTGAAAGCTTCTTGTATCTGCTCCTTTTGTCATTTCATTGATAGGTACTGAGCATAGCTATATGCCAATGGAATATGAAAATAAGCTTAAAATGTAGCCTGCTGAGGAAAATGGTATTGTTCTACTTCTGTTCAAGTTTCCTTTTTGCTTCAATGGTATAGCTATCTTCCTGTAACTCAGTTACCATTACGTTTCTTTTCTAGGCCGCTGCTGGGGAAGGGATTTTTTTTCTGGGTACATTTTTAAATTATAATTAATATTAACTGTTAGTTTTCACAGACTGCTTATATCTGGCCACTTTACTGGATTAGATATTATTAGTTGTTCGGATTATTCTCTTTGGTTCTTGGGTAGGTAGTCAGAAAGAATTTTGTTTCTCCTGAAGTATAGAGTTATATTCCTTATTTCAGAGATCATTCTATACTGGGCATCTCCACTGATACCTTCAGGTCCACCTTCCAACCCGCTGGACCAACTTTGGAACCAGGTTGGTTCCGTCCGGGGAAGGTGCTGGCGGATCAGAGGGCAGGAGAAAGGCCAGACCTACCATTTCCAACCCCGTCCTCCTCCCTTTCATGGAGCTGTCAGTGACAGCTCAGTTCTTCCCCTCTAGCCAAGCCCACAGGCAGAAGACCCCTGGTCCTGACTCTTGCCTTCCTGAGGAAACTGCTTCCTACCTCCTGTTGGCCCTGGAGTCCTCCCCACACTTTTGTAATCTTGTAATCCTTGAGTATTTCTCAGTGACCACTTGGAGGTCATCTGTGTCCTCCTAGGAGAATGACAGGCCTCAACTTCCATATCCGCAATGCAATAGCAGGTATTGTTTCCTTCTGGCCTCAATGGGATTTTTTTTTTTTTTTTTGAGAGTTTTTTTTTTTTTTTTTTTTGCTATAGGGCACGTGCGCTCGCCAGACAGACAGAGAGAGACAGAGAGATAAAAAGTGAGAAATCACCCCCCCAGGGGGGATGGCCATGCTGCAATCCCTTCTCCTCCATTCTCCTCTTGGGATCTTGGGCACACACGCAGACGCGCCTGGTGTGAGTTTTAAGCCACCGGGTCCAGGACTCGAACTGCGGTCGACTACGTGGGAGTCCAGCGACATAGCCATTATGCTAACTGCTGGTCCCAATGAGAATTTTTTTTTTTTGAGAGGTTTTTGCTATAGGGTGCGTGCACTCACCAGAAAGAGACCAAGCGAGAAAGTACCACCCCCCCCCCCCCCAGCAGGGATGGCCATGCCGCAATGCCATCTCTTCCATTCTCCTCTCAGGATCTTGGGCACGCATGCACACGTGCCCAGCATGAGTTTAAGCCACTGGGTCCAGGACTTGAACCGCAGTCAAATATATGGGAGTCCAGCAACATAGCCATTATGCTAACTGCTGGTCCCAATGGGAATGTTTTTAAGTGTTACAAAGCAGTAAGGTTTCACATGGCTGCTTTCGTGTATTTTGTTAACCATGCTCTCAAAAATACTTCTTTTTGCTTGGTTTCCATCGACTAACGTTCCCATGCCTCTGAGGTGCCAACGGTCTGGAACAGCACCTGTGAATGGCTACTAGCATGCTTTCAAACTGAAGCTACTGCATTCGTGGGAAATCGTAAGAAAGGAAGATAATCTGGCAGGCATATGAAAATATAGGAAATTCATACTTCTCTAATGCAACATCGTTGACAGGTAGGTTCTCATTTGGAATTGATAACATCTGGGTTTGAAGATTGGTACCTAGAAGAGATGGTAGCTATTCTTTTCTTTTCCTCTTTATACATGATAGAGTATCCGCATGAGAGAGAGAGAGAGGAGGGAGGGCCCTCCACAGGGTCTGGTCACACAGTTCCCTTCCTCTAGGATGTTGGATTCTGGTCACTCATGAGTGTGCCTGGTTTTTCAGGGCAACTGAACTGGGATTTGTACCAAGGTCACCATATGGCATCCAGTTACCTCTGAGCAGCTTTCACTGTTGTACCATGGGGCAAGCCCAAGTAATAGCTATTCTTTTTTTTTTTCTTTTTTTTTTTTTTTGCTATAGTGCACATTTGCTTATGAGAGAGAGAGAAGGAAAGTGAGAAGAAATCATGCCCCAGAGGGGCGGCTGTGCTGCAACCCTTTTTTCCACTCTCCTCTTAGGACTTTGGGCAAACATGCACAAATGTCTGGTATGATTCTCAAGATGCCAGGTCCGGGACTTGAACTATGAAGCTGGCCATGTGGGATCCAGTGTCTTAACTTTCTTGCCACCTGCTGGTCCTGACTACTTTTAATGTACCATTTGGGACAATTCTCTGTAAGTCATCGCTATTGAATTCAAGTGCAGCTGTATGAGGATGAAGAGAATTAAAAGCAATACTTGGAACATAAGGAATAAACTGTGTTTGGTGCCTACATTGATTGCTTTTTAAGAATCAGTACATAATTTGCATTATTTAATGTCAACTGATGAATTCCACAATAAATAGGCAAAAGATCTGACTTACTTGCACAGAGATTCCGGCTTACTTTCGGCTTTTCCTAGGTTTTAGCTAATGTACGTTCACATTCACACTTGATACAGAAAACATTTCAGGAAGTAAACATTGTTCTGAAAACCTTGAAATAAGGGGCCAGCAAGGTGACATGATAGTGAAGAAAGCTGGATCCCACATGGCTGAGTGGTTCAAGTCCTGGATCCAGCAGCTCGAGAAACACATCAGGTATGTGTGTGTGCATGCCCAATATCCCAGGAGAACAGAGAAGGAATGGCATGGTATATATTTAAATCCAAGAAACAAAAGTATAACAGGAATTACAATTTAGAGATACAGGGCTGCAAGAAAAACTAGAAGTGGGGAAGAACGGGCCAAGGGACTACAGGTATGTTTTACAAACTATTTAAAACTATGTGTATATGTTCTTTCATGGGGCTGGCAGGTGGCGTGGTGGTTAAAGGTGCTGGATAAACACAGGGCCTACTGTGGTTCGACTGCTGGACCTGGAAGCTTGCTTTCTCACCTTCCTCCTCTTTCTCTGGTCAAATTAAAAAATAGTAATAATCGATTAAATAAATAATTCTTTAAATAAACCCAACTACATGTATATCTTCTTTTAGAACAATTAAAATTAATTTTCCAAAAGATACACTGATTTCTCATAAATCTCTCCAATGTTCTCACCTATGATGACTTCTCTTTGACAGTATTTATCTACCAAACCCAATGGTGAAAGATGGTAGCTAGCATCCCAGCGGGGAATAACATTAAAGAACTGAAGAATACTTTGAAATAGTTTTATTGGCTCATAAGACCTTTGCATATAAAAAAAATACCCAAAACACTATGCAGTATTAAATCACAATTACATTTTTTTTTTACCAATTGAAACTACCCAGAATATACATTTTTTTTAAAGAAAAAGAAATCCTACAGAACTGAATTCTGAAATGACATTATGACTTAAATACTATGACAAAATAGATAATTCCTTATAACATTAAATCATTGCACAAAGCTGCCAGATATTTCATAAGCATAACCATTGCGCAGAGTGCAAACGAACACAATTCCAATGGTACACATTTAGCTGAGGTGACTGCCTCCACCTACAGAACTCTTAAAACTTCTGGCACAAAAGGTTGGTCGGCCTTAACTTCTACCAGGTGACCAACTCCACAATCCGGTGACTCTTTCCTTTCTGGCCCTCTCTCAAAAAAGAAACAGCCTTCTGCTGCCCCGGCCTAAGAGTCAACACCGCCTCTGCTTGAAGAAATCGACCCCTCTCAATTCCTCGGGCAGGTATTCTTGGTCGACCGGCTCACTGTACATGGGGTTGTACTTGTAGCCTTTGCCGTAGCCCAAATCCTTCATCAGCCTGGTGGGTGCGTTCCTCAGGTGCAGGGGCACTGGGGGCAGAGGCCCCTGGTGGTTCCTCAGGCAGGCTTTGACATTGCTGTAGGCGCTGTACACCTCGATGGACTTCGGGGCTCTGGCAAAGTAGACGACGCACTGGGCCAGAAGCACCTACGGACGACACGGGACACGCTTTATCTGAAGGTGCCCGGGAGCTTCTCTTTGCAGAATTCTTTGATACTTCTAGCCAATTCTTAGAAGACTTAACACTGCTTTTACTTTCCCACTTTATTTGCCTACAGTCTGGATAACACTTACCATAGGGGCGGGAGGTCAACCAGTGGTTTTCTTTCTTTTTTAATTGAACATTTTACTACGTAAGTCTTTCTTAAACTCTCCCCTCCAAACAAAAACAAACAAAAACCCATGAAGCTGCTCTGTTTGGGAGAATTTGCAGAGGCTTCCTGTTCAGTTCCTACAACCTCTCTGTCTACCCCCCTTCCCCCCAGAGCCTGCAGCACGTCCTCTGAACCTGGGACTCCTGAGGACAGTGTGAAAACACAGTTTTATATGTATTAACTGTCTTGTCTCTAGCAGTCTAGTTCAAAAGCCAAGCAGCTTATTCACTGGGCCCAATGAATCAGTGGTGGTGGGGGGAGGCACATATTCAAATCTACGGAGGGACAGAATATAAGAGAAAGAAACTGATTTGCAAAGAGCAAGTGGATTACTTTACCTCACATTCCGGCATGCCTATAAAATGACAGCCTTGGTAGGCAGCGACTGCTTGTGTCAGTGCAGACGGGTCTGCCAGACCTGTCACATACACACAGGGAGGCAAGGGAAAGTTTAAGGCAAAACACGCGCTATTGTTCCGACCTGTGTGCAGCCATGATCAGAGACCATCACTGCTTGTAGATTTCATGATCAAAACAATCCCATTTAGCAAAACAGACAGACATGTCTCGGATCATCAAGAACTATTTATTGAGGGGTTACTGTGTGGTGCCAAGAATTGTTTCTTTGCAGATAAAAGCTCTACATCTAGTGGTAAAACTAAGAGACTGTGTACCGAAACATAAGTAGCAAAGGTCATGAAGACATTCACAAGGGCTGAGACACTGGAAACAGGCCTAGTCAGTGGGGACTCTCAGCGACTCTCGGGGACAGACGGAGGCACGGTGAGACCCTGCTGAGGTTGCCTGTCTCCCTCCCACCCCTTGAAATAAAGAAGTAGACTTAAAAAGTGAAGTTTTTTTTTGTCTAGCATGTTCTTTACATGATGTCCAGTCTTCCATTTCTCATTTGGAAGTTCTTCAAAGAAAACCCCAGCAGCACCTGACTGCAAAGCAAATTTAAAACTATTTCAATACTCTACATGGCCATTCACGTTAGTAAAAATATCCCCAGAGAGCAAACAGAAAATGGTGACTTTAAGAGCTCCAACACTCAAAGGCACATACGCACCAAAACATAGACAGCGGGGCTCAGGTGCAGCCTTCTCTTCTCCTACTTACCCCACAAGGTGTCAAGACACTCTTAGGCCAAAGAAGCAACACTCCCTGATCATGCCCCCCCCCCCCGGGGGGCGGGGCGCCCCGCGGGGGAAGAGGGGGC